TTTATGCAAGGATGATCATTAAAACGTGTTTCCCATAACAATGTAAAAAGTATTAAAAATTCGTATATTGTTTTTTGGCATTGTGATTTCAGGGAATTTCGAAATGATTCATATGAATGGAAGTTGAACGAACATGAATCATCTGGTGATCAACTAAGTATAGTTTGTGAAATTCAGAATATTCATTTAAGAGTAGCAGTTTTGTATATCTTCAGTTTATGTTTTCGAGATTTATCAAAAGTATATATTTTCGAGATTTAAGCTTTGGCTAAAAATGACGTTGAGAAATGAATCCAAACGTTTGCCAATATGGTAAATGCTTTGAGTGTAGAGACACCAACAGTGGTTCTAATTGGTGCTCCAAATGTGAAATCGATTTCCTCCGGCGTAATTTTTCCAAATGGACAAGCGGCAATGTCAATATTGATTTAATTATCCAAAAGACTCAAACTACTGCTTTCGGATGTGTGGACTATCTGGAATGGATCCCTTTCGAGAACTTTGATTTTGTTAAATACCATGCAAGAGGCGCGTTCAGCGTAATCTACTCTAGCGTATGGATGGAAGGACCTAGACATATTTTTGACAACGAATCCCAAGATTGGGTTAGGAGCGGTCCTACAAAATGTGCCTTGAAAAGAATCGAAAATTCTCAATCAATGTGTCAAGAATATTTAGATAATGTAAATATTCATTATTATTATTGTTCGAAAGCAACGTTAGTCCGAAACTACAAATAGATATCTATGTTACACATATACACATATTTCGCTAATTAATATATATATTTTAGATTCTAAAATATCATGAATGTTTTCGAAATGCGTCCGCGGTGGTCGATTGTTTTGGACTGACGCGTGACCCAACTGGCTGTTATATGTTTGTAACAAGATTTTACGAGTCTGGAGATTTACATCAATATCTTGCCAAAACCATGGGATGTCTTTGCTGGTATGGCTTTTCTAAATTCTCATCATCGTCAAAAACTTGCCAAAAAGTGTAGCTATTTTTATGCTTATAAATATAGCTTAAAAACATAAAATTTTCAATTTTAAATTCAATCTTTTTGTAAACATTTGATTATTTATTTCCTTTAGGAGAGATGTTATCGATATGCTTTGGGGGATAGTTGTTAGTGGTCTTGAGCCAATTCATGAAAATGGGTTTTTTCATGGAAATCTTCATGGTGGTAATTTATTAGTTGAAGAGCATCCTGAATCAATAAATGTAAAAATTTCTGATATTGGATTACATGGTCCCGCTGACAGTTCGGCATCCGGTATTTATGGTGTTTTGCCTTACATCGCTCCAGAGGTGTTGAGAGGTAAAAAATATACTCAGGAATGCGATATATATAGTTTTGGAATTATTATGTGGGCAATGTCCTCCTTTGTTCCTCCTTTTTGTCAAATTCCTCATGACCTCGATCTTGCAACATGTATATGCGATGGTTTAAGGCCAAGTATCGTCGATGGTACTCCTGAAGTGTATGTAACACTAATGGAAAGATGCTGGCATCAAGATCCAAGCCAGAGACCTAAAGTTTCTGAACTTAATGAAATTTTAACTTCTTGGATAACTGCCATCAGCGACGACCCTGGTATTGTATATATATATATTTTTTTTTTTTTTTTTTTTTTTTACAAAAACTTATTGAACTTTATTGCATCCTAAATTTATAAAGATCCTTCACCAACTTCTGAGCAATTTGATATTGCCGAAGAAAAGAGATTTTCCGATTTAATAAATAAAACTTTTCCCAAACCAAAGTTTCATAATCAAGCGGTTTATATAAGCAGATTATTAAATTACAGATCTCTTTATGAGAATACTCAATAGGAATACTTATGCCTTAATTTTTGGAACATTCTTTTTGATAAATATGATATAGATTATTATATAGTATGATTAATTTTTAAACCACGAAATACGGCATTCACGGCAATGAAATACGGCATTCGCGCATTCGTTAAAAGTAGGTAAGATTTATCATAGATGCAATTAAACAAAAAAAACTTTTAATTTATAATGTAAATACAAAATGGCTCTTTTCTCATATCCTAATATATAAGTCTGAATCAACATAATTAATCATGATTTGAATATATTTAGGTATGAGAAAAAAAAAACTTTAATATGTATAATATAATTTCACTGACGTTTTTTAATTACATGTTGCAATAAAAATAATAAGACTGGATAAGAACTTTATGTATTCACAATATTATATGTTCTAGGTTGAAAACTTTTGTTATCTTTTTATGCCTCAATCTTGTTATGCCACTGGAAAAAAATTTTATTTTTTTATGCCTCAATCTTGTTATGCCCTCATTATAATTTGTAATTTTAATACTGTATTTAATAATTTATCATATTATTTTAACCATAAGTATATACTGTATAATATAAAATTTTAATTTCAAAACATATACTAAAATTTTATTTATTTAAGATGTATACTGTATACTAAGTACCCTTTTGTTTATAAAATTACAAATCCTAAATAGGACTTTATAATTTATCGCTACCCAGGTCTAAGTCAATCAAAATCCAGAAAATCAAAGTTCCGAAACTTAATTGTCGCATCATGTGATGTCGGGTCAAACTCCGTTTATGATTAGTAATCTATAGACAACCCTCGAAAAAAAAGTACGAATCGAAAAATCTCCAAAATTCGTTTATATTGTGTTCGTATTAGGGCTTCAAGAGTAAAGAATCAGGTAGTAAAATTGTGCAAGGAATTTTTTTATTAGAACGCAAAAGGTGGTTTCTTATACTAATTTTTAAGAAATAAGCAACTTGAAAAAAAGCACTTTGTTTTGGATCTTTCTGATCATACTACGTTACATCAAATCGTGATTAACTATTGGTCGATTGTCACGTGCTTATACTTTTGGAGGAATGCTAGAATTGTTGTAATCTATAGATAATCTATACTGCTAATTATAAGTGGAGTTTTAATATTGAAATTCTGATATCACATGATGTGACAACTAAATTTTAAAGAGTAGCAATATATTATTATAATAAAAAATAAAATCCTTTAAGATAGAAGGTATGTTAATTACTGTATTTTTCTATGATTTATATAATATTTTAAAGATTTATTTATTTTTTTCAATATTAAGGTAATTACTTTGAAGTTTAGTATGTTTTATTTAACTCTAGTTTAAATACTAGTATAGTCAATAAGAATCATATTTGAGTTTGTTATATTAATAAGAGTATAATTGGTTATATATAAGAGTGTAGTAATATAGTAAAGTGGTTGAGTTGTTATCTCTCAAGTAGTATATCAAGAGTTTGAATTCACTAGTATCAAAAATTTAAAAATTCTGCTTGTATTATAGTTAACTGTATTTGGTCAATCAATTAGAATAAAATATTTATAATTATAGTTATACTAGCAAAACTAGAAATTTAAGTATTTATATGACAGAAATATAACACAGAAAAATACAAACTAGTAATTAGTAATACAAACACAAAATAAGTTTTAGATTGTATAAATCTAAAGAATTGTGATACTGTACTAAAGTTTATTTAACAAGATCTAAATAAAGAGTATTATAGATCTTTGATGAAGCTATTATAAAGATTAAATCTAAAAAATAAAATCTATATAAATTAAACCAAATAAAAGATAAAGTGTTGAAAAGCACCTTTACTAATCAAATTACTACAAATAGAAAAAAAGATTAAGCAATCTAGTTAGAAAGTTCTTGAAGTTTATAATATTAATATAAAATCTGCTAGACTATTCTGCTAGGAGATACAGTATCTATTCAAATATAAAAAAATATATATATAGTAAAAGCAGTAACAGATATTATATAATATTATTTTACTATAAAGGTACGATATAAATCAATTCTGATTGGCTAATTTAAAAAAATATTTATAATAAATTATATATAATCAAATCTTGATATAATTATCAGGTCATATATCAACTTTTTTTGCTAATCATTAAAATACAAATTTTTGAAAACAAAAACAACAAAAATTACAAAAAACACACAAAGACTACTAAGAAACCAAACTCAGAGCTTTAAAAAAAAAGAAAGAAAATTACAAAAAATACTTAGTTTTTTAAAAGACTTGAGTAGAAAGAGCAAAAACAACAAAAAGTTAAAAAAGTTATAAAAAATTGTTGATATTTTTTTGTATTTTGTGAATTTTTAGAAAACCAGTCTTGATCCCGAATTACAGATCTGTTTTGATAATACAAGAATCGCAATATATAATAAAAAAAACACACCAAAAACTATATAATAAAAATAAAAAAGGTAATAAACAATTGTAACAAATAACAACAACAATTAATAACAACAAAAGAACAACAAGTCATGTGAAATATTCAGTAATAATTGATAGAAGAGAGTTTAAGAAATTAGAAAAAGCTAAGGCACAACAAAAAATTATATAATAAATACAAACAAAGATGATAAGTATTTGCAACAAACAATAATAACAATTAATAACAATAGTATAACA